TAAATTTGACCTTATGACTGGTTTTGTGCTCCAGGGTCACATATTATCAATAAATATCAATAAAACCCAACCTTCTCCAAGTATCCTTCCCACAGTTTGAGCTCGGCGATTAAACTCTCTTTATTCCTCTTCAGAGCCGAGTCATGTCTCTCTCCTTCAGGAACGTACCACTCATAGAAAGCCACGTCATCTGAAAAAATAAATAAATAAAAAAGTTAATATGTGTTTTTAATATCTGATCCATCAGGCTTTTATGGCTCATATAGTCTGATAGAGCGAGAATATATAGTAAAAACAGCTCAGTTTTATTCAGAGACTCAAAAATATGAATTTGCATCAGATGCTGATATTAATATGATGAAACTCTGCTGCTCGTGATGTAAATAGCATGCTAAAAATACTAAAAAGATCTCATATTTTCTTCAGAAAATGTACATGTCTAGTTATTACTACTCTTTCATGATAAACATGTTTTCAAAGTTACTTTGATATTTTTATTGACGCTTAAAGTAAACAATTTCCATGTGTAACTGAACTAAATCTTTCAACATCAAGCAATATAAATTCTAAATACATAACATCAGAATTGATAATAAATGAAGACGGGAACAGATTAAAATTAATATCTACTCTTATCTGGGATAAAATATTTAATTTGACGCTCTTACCTTTGCTAGTACAAAGTGATTATTTGTAACTCAATCCAAGTTTGATAGACGATACTTTTATTATTTCCACTGTAATCCATTGGGCTGTTAATTATGGAAGCTCGTTTCTGACATAGAATTAAAAGAAAATGTCTAAAGGTTTTTATCTCGCAATTCTGAGTTTTTATTTCATGATTCCGAATTGTGTGAAAAAGTCAGAATTGTGAGATGAAGTGTGGCAATTACTTAAATTTTAATTTTTTCGTATAAATTTTTTTTAATAAAAATCTATGGTGGTGGGGAAAAAAATATATTTTTTCATCATCGTTATGTATAACGGAGACCCTATAAATAGACATAGTAATGAAAAAATACGAGACGAGTTAAAATTATATTTCAATGTTTTTACGTTCTTTCGCAAAACCGGTTTCACGAGAGATTTTGAATTCGGTCGTAAACCTTTTGTCTTTTTTTTTTTTTTTTCAAACATGCAAAAAGTATCTTTTTTACATTTTTTCAGCAATAAGGACATAATTGCACATTTATTAAACGTCACAACACAACATTTATTGGTACGCGATCTAATGTCTTCTCGAATGACGCTGACATGCGACTCGTTTGCGTTCCCGTTGATGCTCAGCGTTTCTGTAAAGCAGATCATGACTGACTTTAGCTGGAGAAACGACTCTTCGTTATCGTCTTCTTGCATTATTGATGAACTATGTTCCTGTTTGACTCTGTAAAGCTGCTTTGACACGATCAGTATTGTATAAAGCGCTATAGAAATAAAGGTGACTGATAGTTACGCAATGCTTTGAATCTGCTCGGACCTGATTCACACGAACTTTCCCAGAACGTTCTTTACGCGTTACAATAGTAATGTGTCGGTATGTCAACAGAGCTTATTTCCGCCGTGGAATATAAAACATTTAAAAAGTTAACTGCGACTTTTAATTCAATTCGGACTTTGTTTCTCGCAATTCTGAGTTTACGCCTCGTAATTCTGACCTTTTTGTTCCGCCATGGAATTAAAAATAAAAAGGGTACTTGTGACTTCTTATCTCACGATTATGACTTTTCTTCTCGTAATTTGAGTTTATATCTCGCGACTCTTTATCTAGAGGATAAAGTCAAATTTTTATAATTCAATAAAGAAAAAAAAAAAAATTTTCTTCGGGAACCAGTTTTGCGAAAGAACATAAAAGCACTTAAATATAATTTTAACTCATCTCATATTTTTCCATTACGATGTCCGATTAGAATTTCTGTTATACATTATGACGAAAAAAAAATCTGTGATTAACTTTTTTCTCTAGTTTTTGTTTGTTTGTTTCCACCACAGAATAAAAAAAAACGTTAAAAAGTAAACTGCGACACTTTCGCTCACAATTCTGACTTTTTTCTCGCAACTCAGAATCGTGAGACATAAACTCTGAATTGTGAGACTAAAAAGTCGCAATTACCTTTTTATTTAAATTTTTTTTTTTTTAATTCCGTGGCCGAAACGGGCTTCCATAATATTCAGATGTAACAGAACGTCCATCATAACTAGACTAACGAGTAATTTCACCCTCTCTGGCAGACGATTACAGCTGTACTGATCGTATTTTCTGATTTATAAGAATTATAACACGTTTGAATTGTGTGCGATCAACTGGACACTGAATAAAGGTTTATAAATATTTGAATCCCGTAACGACACGCCCCTCTGTCACATGCCACGCCCCTCTATCGCATACCACGCCCCTCTGTCACATGCCACGCCCCTCTATCGCATACCACGCCCCTCTGTCACACGCCACGCCCCTCTGTCGCATGCCACGCCCCTCGTGTGTTTTACCTCCAGATACAGACACGCTGCAAACGACTCGTTCACGACGATGTCTCCGTGCTTGAAAGTCGGAAGCTGCAAATAAAACGAAAAAGAAAAAAGTGCAATATTAAAACAAGAGTCTGGCAACTGCCCCGTCGCTGAATTACAGCTGCACAGAAAGTAAAAGCCCAATGCAATCTTAAGAAATCATACACGACACGAGTCTGTCATGCACGGGAACGCACCTGAGCTCTGGGATTGAGAGCTTGCACTTCTGCACACTTGTGTTCGTTCTTGTCAAACGACAGGTGTTTGTGTTTGTATCCCTGCAGCTGCTTCTCCTCCAGCGCGAGCATGACTCTCCAGCACGGCGGAGAGCCGGAGCCCCAGTACAGCAGCATGCTCTGCGCCATGCTGTCGCGTTTAATCAGGAAAAAGAGCTGTTTTTACTGTGCAAAACACCCCAGATTTACTGCGCCACGCTTCTTCTTCTTCTTCTTGAAATTTTATTGGCGATTGACAAACAACAAAATGGTGTATTTCCGCCACCAACTGGAATGGAGTGTGAATCCAAAATTGACTTCCTTCCCAATTTTCCTTCCTTTTTTTTCTTTTTTTTAAATTCTCTCCCACAAATTAGTTATTTTAAGGAATCTTAATAATACTCTTGATTTCATTCTTACTTAGATTAACAATTAAGTTAATGTCGTTGTTTTTAACTGCTTCTTTTGCTTCTTTATCTGCAGTTTCATGTCCTTGGACACCAATATGCGCCGGCACCCATACAAATACCACTGTACTCCCCATCATTTCAATTCTATATAACGTTTGCATTATTTCCATTAAAATGTCTGGTCTACTTTCCGAGTGACTGTACTGTAAACTAACCAATGATGAACATGAATCTGAACAAATAATTGATTTCAAAGGTCTTATCTCTTCTATCCACTGTATTGCTAATACTAGTGCGATCATTTCCCCATGTGTATAAACTAATAACTCATCACTGATCCTTTTCCTTACTGATAAATGAAATTCTGGAACAGTAAACGCTACTCCTACCTTATTGTCTAAACTCTTTGATGCATCTGTATAGATCTGAACATAGCTGTAGTACTCATTAATATATGTCTGCACATTATATAAATTACATTCCTTACCCTTATT